GTTGGTTGAGCTCAGCAGGGGTCGCGTTTGGTGCTGGAGGGTGGGGGGTGTCTACCTTTGAAAAAATTGGTTTCTTGTTGATTTTTTTGGTTTTCCCGTCTCACTGCCGCTATTTCATCCCCTCCCCCTCCTTCCCTCTCTACTCCCTCCGTTCGACGGCATTTTCTGGAGAAGAAGTGAAGGAATTTTCGAACAAACGCAGGGAGAGTAGGGAGAGGTGGGAAGTTGGGCACATTTTGGAAGATGGCAGGTAAGATGGGGAAGGAGGTCGTAGCGGAGGAAAAAGTAGTGAGACTGAATCGCATTTTGCGGAAATTTTCTCCAGCAGGACGATTTCTCAGGAGGGCACATCCTGCTACAGAGCACGTAATGCCCAGCAGGACATGCCCTCCTGAGGAATTGATCCCGCTGTTCATAGCCACCTCATTTTTCCCAGCCATCGATGGGAAAGACGAAGGCGTGGGAGTCCTTGTTAGTCGTTGGCTTATAATTCACTTTTCTATGAATAAAATGGTGGTTTATCCAGTCAAGACGTCTGCGTTGGGGATTCTCAACGAGGGGGTCGTTTTGGTCTCTGGACGATGGGGGTTGTGGCTACTGTTGAAAAATCCTTGAAAAATTGTTCTGGCCGTCGACTTTTTTGTTGTTTTTTTCGAATCACTGCCTCTAGACTCCCCCTTCCCACTCCTTCCCTTCCAGCTCCCTCCGTGTGACACGAATTTCCGAACACAACTCGGGGAAATGATAGGAAGTTGACAAATTCAGGAAGGTGGCAGATAAGATGGGGAAGGAGGTCGTAACGGAGGAGGAAAATGTGAGGGCGGGGGGTCGCATTTTGCAAAAATTTTCCCCAGCAGCAGGACGCGCCCTGTATCCAGTTCTCTTAAGAAATTGATCCCGCTGTTCATAGCCACCTCGTTTTTCCCCCACCTTCTTCGAGAAAGATGAGGTGGTGAGAGCCTTGTGGTTGCTTTTTTCTCAAAAAAATTTGTAGAAAAAAAATGTTATTCAGTTTACATTTGGAAAAAATTATGAATTTCATTACACTCGAATCTACTGCTCCTACCCTTTCCGTACTGATGTCCAGTTCCCGTCTAAAGGCACTCGCGAAATGGAAAGACTACTTCATATGAGGACTATACCAACTGTTTGAACTAAGAAAAGCTTTGTAATTATGGTAACAAGTAAAAACTAGTCATATCACATTTTAATCTCATAAACCTCTATAAACTGAAGTATAGTAAGCCCATTTTATCTCGATTGCAGATTCATCATTTCAATTTCAGCCGTAGGCACTGTATTCATCGTTGGAATGGTGGCGTCGGTGGTTGGTGGAGGCTACTATATCAAGTTAGTATTACATTTTTCTTATTATCGATTGCGTGAGTAGCTTTCTTTCCCGTTTTTTGTGTACTTGGGTGGGCGTGGTCATGGGCAAATTGACATCATTAAGCACGCGAGCACACATGCATGTTCGTGAGGCTCAGTGGAGACAGGGAATTCGACGCTTGAGGGCAAGTATTGACTGGCGGGGTGCGTGTCCGTTCTTTGTCGGCTTGCCTTCAAGCAGCCATTATGCCTGGGCGACAATCTAGCGGGTTTTCTTAGCCAGCTTTCAGCCTTGTGCGGCTTTCAAAGCAAAAAACAACTGTCGTTAAAAAAAAACGTGGACATGTCAGATCTCATCATTTTCAGGAGACGGCGCAGCTCTCCGGATGACAGCGAATATGCACCATACGCTGGAACTGGACCAGGTTTCAATAAAGAAAGGTCAGATCTTGGTATAAACAGGCTTTTTTCAAAAAGAAAATATATAAGGGAACAAGCTCCGACCCCTCTTAATTTCACAAGTTGTTTTTTTCTCTAACAAGTTAGGCACTATTCAATTATTACTACCGCAATCTTCCAAAAAGAGGCCAGAAGGATCAGCTTCCTCCTAAGAGGAGGACTTCGCCGAGAACTCGGTTATATAGGGAGTTCGACGTCCTGAACACGATTATCAATCCGGTCTGAGGCTGCCTGGCGCCAGCGCCATAGACGCCAGCGCCCAGAACACTAAGTTACCGCTTGCTGAAAACTAGTCACCAGGGCTAGCTTGACATGCTGAACACGAATTTCACATCTGCCCGGACTAGTAGTGCCTGGCGCATGCGCCATAGGCGCCTTCGCCAGAATATATTTGAGATCAGAATATCCCGCTGAAAACTTGTACATGGGGGTTATTGAAGTCGCGATTACAAATATGACAGTCATTTTTGGCGCTGGCGTTGACGGAGGACACTGCGATCATTCTGCCCTCTGCCGTGGCTGAGTCTGACCCTAAGGAAGTCTCGCCTTCTCAGCGAGGCTCTGCCCCGTAAAAAAGCGCTAAATGGTGCTGGTGTCGAAAAAATGAGTGCCATATCCGGGATCAGACCATGAAACAACCCCATTGTGCAAGTTCTCATCGATTTTAGATGAAAAAGGGTGGCGCCAAATGGCGCCACGGCTGAAAATGAGGGTCATTTTCGTGATCGGTATACGTAGTATCACCAGTATGCAAGTTTACACCGATTTTGGTGAGAAACGTGGTGCACCAAATCGGCGCCTAGTGGCGCCAAATAGCGCCAGTGTCTAAAGCGAATGCCATACTCGTAATCACATCGAATTATCCTTATGGGCAAAGTATCACTAGAAAAATTTTTTGAAGTCGCCGAGTTGTCACAAGTTGGCACAAGAGTGCTGAGTTAAGAATAAACAAACATCAAGCAATAAGATTTTTCAAGTTTTAGAGGTAGTAATAGTTGAGTACTGCCCAAGTTTCTTGTTTGGACTCCATTTAGGAGAAGGGAAAATGCAATGTTTGCAGTTTCTTGTTAGCGGGCGCCATTCTGTACATGGGGTAAAAGTATGTATGTAGTAGTAATGCTTCCGATTTCCAAGTATCTCTACTTAAATCTCGTTGGGAACCTCACATGAACATTCCCCGCCATTTTCAGTTTTTTTTTTCTCATTGTCAAGGCTAATTTACTCCCTGCTATTCTGTGAATCTTTAATTATGTTTGTCCTCGCAGAAATTCAGACCGGAGGTACGGATTTCCTAGAACGAGCGAAAAAGCTCTCGAAAGATGTAGAGGGACAAAAAAAATGGATTGTGGTTGTGGAGAAAAGCAACATTTATTGGGGAATTAGTGGATGTTAGCTTTCCATATACAAATGGCTGGGAACTGCCCTCCAGGGACGTCCACTTGTGTCTCCACCCCCTTGAAATATCTCTATTGACTTCAGAGATTTTTGCTGATGAGGCAGTCTATCACTGATTATTTCAGGGTGACAAAGGCGATGAGTCTCTAGCGTACAAAGCGCAACTCCACCAGTATCAGCAGGCAAAACAGAAGATCATCTGCGGTGAAGACGCTCCTGGTAAGCGTTTTTGTGTGAACAGTAACCTAACATAGTTAGTATCGTCGCAGTCAGTCGGGGCGGTGTCAGGAGGGGCGAAATGGCCTGGCTTCCTTTTCTATCAATAGTGATCGGTTAGTGTACATTCAAAAGGAGAAACAACCAATGGTGAACGCTGCGGGTGGACTCACTTCATGCCTGAAACCGCCCCACTGTTTCGACGATATCAGTGTCGGCGATGTGTCTTTCGTTTTTCTTCACGTTTTTTAATCTATCGAACCCTGAGAAAGCCCGAGAGTTCTCTTGTACTTTATGTGAAACCTTGTGTAAAATCAATACATGAGTACAAGAAATGTGAAAATACACATTTGCCCTTTACCGCCCAACGCTTCGAAATCTGGACGTTATTGTTCCACAGTTTGAGCTCAGGGTAAAGTTGGCGAAGTTGTTACCCCGAGCGCAATCATCAAAGTATATATTCAGCACGAAGATGCCCTGCGCTCGCTCTTCAGGAATTGGCCCCTTCTTACGACGATTGTCATTTTTGCGCTCAAAAGACCGGGCCATCTTTGACCCCAAATTTTTAGCGAATTTGTAACCTGAGGGGCATTTTTTTACGCCTGACAGTAGAGATCTTTGCGCTCAGGGGGAAGGGTACAGCATCGTGATGTGTGAAATGGTAATGTAGGTACGCCCCCACCTCTCCAAGAGAGGGTGTCAGTACGACCCTCCCCACCACCTAAATGAGGGTCTCGGTACGACCCCCCCCCCCCACTTTCCCCAAACACCTACTTAGCGATTTCCCACATTTTCCAGTCCAGGTTTTCACCCCAAAAATTCTCCGTCGAGGGGGGGGGGGGAGGAGGATAGCACACATGAAACAGGCCAAATCACGCGAAAAGACAACAACCGCGAAAATTTTTTCCCAACGCAGCAAATTTCTCTCAAACGCACATACGACCCCCTCTCTCATAACGACAGAATACGATCCCCCTCCCAGTGGAAAAGTACGATCCCCGTATGTTTCACACAACGATGCTGTACCCTGTCTGAGGGTTAGACTACCCGCAAGGGGATAGTTGCCCACAGTGACGAATATCCAGCCAGATCGACGTTTTGATGCAAATCATGAAGCGAAATACATTTTAAGATACATTGGGGTACAAATAAAGATACATTGAGGTACAAATAGAAATGATACAGGTTCATGATAACTAGGACTACTTTTAAATATTTCACTCGAATAAGCCACTTGTACTGTTTTCCTTGAAAATTCGAATTGATTGGGCGTGATCATCAATTCTTTTTTTCTCACTAAACAAAGTGTATTTGCATAACTGCTGTTAGGGCAGGGAGTGCAAAATGGAATATATGCATACGTGTCAAGTCTCTTGAAGTCTCCCTTAGCTCTCAGTTTCCACTGAAAACGGTTTACTTCGAGCGAATGGAAGTCCTTTGACCGTGCTACTGGTACTTCAGTTGTTTATTATGCGGGAGCGAAAGAGGTGCCTGTGATGGGTCACGCTAACGAGCCAGCTCAGATGTAAAAAGTGCTCTAAAAGAAGTACGGGTGCATGTTAGGACTGTCGGACCAGCGTCGGCAGTCATCCGCGAGTTACCCGCGCGTGGCAATCAGTTGTATTGTGCATATCTTAGGGCGCTGCGGGGCGTAGTTGCGATGGCTGCGAGGGTCCAGACGGAAGAGAGTCAGAAACGCATGTATGGAACTGTCGCCAAGACGCCTCGCATTGCCCTCAGATAACACTGCATGCTTCCGGGACTTCCTATCATATTAATGATTTTTATTGTTTTGTTATGTTCTCCTCAAAGTGGCTCTGTGTGGCTGTTTAGAAATCTCGTGGTCAAAGCTTTGGCTCTGTTTAGGTCTTGTTCAGCCCAAAGTCATCTGTTGAAACGGGGTATTCTTTCAATTCAAAGAAATAAAAGCATTGGTAATTCAGAGTAACCAGTTGGGGCAACAAATGCTGGTCAACGAGCCCGCTCGGCTACCTCGCGCAGATCTTTACATTCCTGTAGCCGATGTGGCTCACTTTTACCATTTCGCCTCCACGTATAACCATGAGACGCGTTCACTATAATGAACTACCAAAGGGTACTAGCGCTAGAGCAAAATGCCCCTACCAAGCCGAACAATACTACCACACGGCTGACCCCTGATAGATGAGCTGGAATGTTCTACGTATCGTAAGGCTGCTTTAACCATAATAGCAGTGCCATTGGGTAGTTTATCTTGCGTACAACTTGGGGCTAACCTTCATGTGGTATTTCACATATGAACAGTCCACTGTGACCGCTCATTGAAAAACACGTCCTGAATTCGAAATCCATTTCAGCTGTCTAATGTTTGAATGATGACGTCGAAAATCACTGGGCAGGTGAATAAATTGTTCTACCATAAAAACTCTGGAAATTTCATAACTTTATTAGCGAAATGTAACCTAGTGTTGAAGTGGTTTCGTGGTTTGAGGGAGACCCGGCCTTTCGAGAAATTCGAGTCCAGCTGTCAACGAGATTGCTGAATTGGGGATCACGGAGATTCAGTTATTGCAAGTGTTTGTGAAAGAAATCATTGCTCAGTATGTATTCTTCAAGCAGGGCATACATATCCTGGAATTAGGAAAAAATTGCAAAGTACCACCCCTCCCCCTTCTTCCAGCACCCCTCAAATTTAAAAAAAATCAATTATCAAATAAATTAAAAAAAATTTTTTATAGTTGATTTTTCTTGTTTCACAAGCGGTATTCACATTATTGGTAAATTGTTGAGGGAAAAAGAGGCGTCGATTGGCGCTCCGAGAGAAATTGCCATGTTGTTTCTGTTCTCAGAATTTCCTCCTCAGAGGGGTTTATAGCGCTGTTTAAGTGGACAAACCGAGAAAAATCAGCAACCGGAAGCATTTTTCTGAACTTTTTTCTGAGGGACATACGACCAAACCTTTCCCCCCCCCCCGACGAAATACGAATCCCCACAGACGACTTACACGTACGCACTACGTGGCCTCTCTCCAACCCTTCCTAACACCTGCAAGGACGTGCCTCAGTGTATATCTCAAGTTCCCCACAGTACACAGGGCACATCCCCTCCCCGACTAAGGGCTAGTTTGATGCAACACCCTTCCCCCCCCCCCTAGTACCTTCCTCTGATTGCGATCGAGCTATCGAGAAAGGGGGAGATATATAATGTGAAACAGGAAAACCGAGAAAAGTTAACAACCGGGAAAAATTTCTCTCAACGCCGCAAATTTCTCTCGCTAAGCAGATACAACCCATCTCACTTTCCCAGCTGAGCAGTAACCCCTCCCCCTCATTACCGTCCGTGAAACAGGAGAGGTCAACTAAGTTTTTCTCAGACCAATTACTCCCCTACCCCCCCCCGCGAGCGACCAAAAGCTCTCTGTTGGGGAATCCCAACAATGATGTGCCCTGCTTCTACATCTTCGTGCATCAATTTTATGTAGCATCTGAATCTTTTTCACAGAGCAGAAATAGTGTTCTAGCGGGCCATGCCGCGCGCGATGTGGGAGCTAAATCCGTTCTCGGGCTAACCAAACCTTCCACACATCAGAGCGGGCATATTATCAAGTTTGTCTGACAGGAAAAAGCAATCGTTTGGCTCTTTCTATAATTGCGGGCCGTACCCTAAACAGATTTAATCCACGTCAGAAGCTTCCTCCTCAATGCTCTAATCCCTGTGAAATGATTGTGGCGTCCTCAAGAACATTCTGCTCAGAAAAGCAGTCGTGAGCGCCCTTAATAAAATAAGATATTGGGTGAAGCTTGTGGATTCCGCAGTAAAATGTTCAATTGGAACTACATAACAAGGACAGGACACGTCCTGCATTGGGAGATCCTAGCGGGGGTCGTATTCGAGGTCGTATTCGGTTGCTTGAGGGAGAGGGTCGTAACTGGCCTGATAAAAATTTTTTTGATAGTTGGTTTGTAGGGTCGAATTGGCCTCCGAGAGGAGTTTGCCATGTTGTTTCTGTTGTTGATTTTTCGCAGCTTTTCCTTTCCGCCTCCTATATACCCCTCCCTCCCCCTCAATCCGCTCCCCTCCCCCCGCCCCGCTTGACGGCGGAACTTCCGGGAGATTTTGGGGAAAAGTGAACATGGGGAAATTTCAATAGAAAAAGGTAGGGAGTTGGATGCTTGAAAAACTTTGAAGATATGAAGTAGGATAGGGAGAGGTCTGGGTGGAGGGGGTCGTATTTTCCGAGAATATTTC